GAGCTCCTAACCACTGCACCACCAGGGCTCCTTAGAGTAAACTGTTATTATGTAAACACTGTTCCCTGGCCCTTTTCCATGTCAATGTTAATAAGATGGGACATAAGAATCTTTGGAAGTTCTTTTCTGTTTGAAATACTGTGACTCTCTAGTCAGAAGTGTTGCCCAATTTGCAAGCCATATGTTAAATAAAGGAGCCCTGGTGGCGCAGTGGTTAAGAGCTCGGCTGCTAACCAAAATGTCAACAGTTTGAATCCACCACTGCTCCTTGGAAATCCTATGGGGCAGTTCTACTCTGTCCTATAGGTTTACTATAGAGTCAGAATCGATTTGATGGCAGCGGGTTACAGGTTATGTTAAATAAATGTCAAATCAATTTTCAACTTGTATTATTGGCTTAATATGATTTTTGTTTCAACACTCCCAAACTGCAAATTACACAGCATCTCTCTGGCTCTCTGTCACAACTCCACTGCTTTCAGGGATTCAGTGGAAATACTAGTTTATGGGTCTTTGCAAACCATCCCCTTAAACACACCTCACTGTCACCCACTGGCATACCCCAGTCAAATGATGGCTGACGGCAGCAGCGTCTGTGCCATCCAATCAGGTCCTAGGCCAGGGAGGCATTGTCTGTTTCAAAGCTGGGCGTGGTGGCTCTGCATACTCACTCGGCAGCAAGAATGTGGGGCTGGGAACCGGGAGATCTGGACTCTCCTGGCCTTGACACTGGTTCACTGTGTGACCTTCGGGAAAGCTGTTGGGCTCTCTGGGCCTCAGTTTCCTCATGTATAAATGAGGGGGTTGGGCCATATGATGTAGGTTTCCCTCCATGATTTCCTCACACTGTCCTGCTTTCGGCCTCTGCTCCCCAGTTCTCCCCTTGCTAAGGCTGCCTGCAGAAGAGCCAGTGGGGAGAATTTTCCTAGCCGCTTTCTCTTTCCCCAGGGACTCAGGAAAACAGACCCAAGTAAGATCACCTGTGCTCTGGGAAGCACTGGGCTGCCTGTGGCTGGGAGCAGCAGGACAAGGACAGTGTGCCAAGGAAAAGCCTGATGGAAAAGAATGCGAGGGGGTGGGTTGGGGTTAAAAATGGACACGCTGCCTGTCATGTCTGAGTACGCATACTTGGCAAGGAGGCATTCTAAATAAAACCCTATTAATTCCTGGCAGTTCTTCAGAGCCAGCAGCCCAGGGCGATTTTAGAGCAAACCCAGTCCTGGGGTCCTCAAAAGTGCTCTCCTAGAATGAAGGTTCAGTGGAGGAGAGAGGGGAGAGAAGAAAACAAAGGAGAAAAGAGGAGAGCAATTAGAAGCGCGGAACTCAATGAACCCAGAGCAGCTCCGACAGATCTTAACATGGTGCTAAGGGTGAGAAACGGAATGAGACATATAACACATCATATACATACATATTAAAAATACCCACACGTAAAACATCAATGCAAATTTTATAAAAACACATAAACCAAAAATATAACCTGTTGCCGTTGAGTCGATTCCAACTCATAGTGACCCTATAGGACAGAGCAGAACTGCCCTATAGGGTTTCCAAGGAGTGGCTGGTGGATTCGAACGGCCGACCTTTTGGTTAGCAGCCAAACTCTTAATCACTGCGCCACAAGGGCTCCAAATCAAAACTATACACATTAATAAGATGTCTAGGATTTGCTGTGAAATAATACGGTGGGGGGAAGGCAGAACTGAGGCAGTATAGATGGAACAAGGTTGGCCATGAGCGGTGATTGTGGGAAGTTGATATACTATTTTTGTATTTATTAGCAATTTTCAATTATATAAAGTAAAAAACAAAAACCAACAAAACACACACACAAACACCAAACCAAAGCCAAATCCGTTGCCAACAAGTCGATTCCAACTCATAGCGACCCTGTAGGACAGAGCAGAACTGCCCCATAGGGTTTCCAAGGCTGTCATCTTTATGGAAGCAGACGGCCACATCTTTCTCCCGAGCAGTGGCCGGTGGTTTTAAACCGCTGACCTTTTGGTTATCAGCTGAATGTTTAACCACTTCGCCATCAGGGGTCCTCAAACACACACACACACACACACACAGACACACACTTATGTTAAACGCATTAAAATGGATGTCTATGGGGATAGGATGGAACCCTGGTGGTACAGGAGTCCTGGTGGCTCAGTGGTTAAAGAGCTTGGCTGCTAACCAAAAAGTCAGCAGTTCGAATCCACCAGCTGCTCCTTAGAAACCCTAAGGGGCAGTTCTACTCTGTTCTATAGGGTCACTATGAGTCAGGGTTGACTTGACGGCAACAGGTATTATGGGGATAAAGAGGGGCCAAGGGAATAAGAATCGGCAGTAAGGATAAAAGAAAATAAATAGATAAAATAAGGCAAAGTAAAAGGGAGGGCGGGGAAGAGGAGAAAAGGAAGAACGGGAGGGAGGACTGAGAGAGGAGAGGCCCAGGAATAGGAAGGAGGAGAGAAGACAGAGGGCCTGGGGTGGGGAAAATTCTGTCTATCCAACGGCCTTGGTGACCCCTACCCATAGGTCACCCACAGAATCACAGAATTCCAGAGCCAGATGAATCTGGGTGATAATCCAACCACCCCTCATACTACCAGTGACGAAACAGGTGTGGAGAGAGGACTGTCCATGTCACATGGCTAGGGAAGACCAGGGTTAACCCAACACCCAGTTCTCTTGGTTCTAAGCCCTTTCTAAAACATGGTGGAATCAGCCAGACCTAATTCAAAGCCCACTTCTGAAACTGCAACCTCGAAAAAGTAACGACAGTTCTAAACCGGAGTTTGTCAGCGCCAACATGGAACAATCACCTCGCTGCTGGGGTTGGTGTGAGGGTGAATGACCGCCTGTGTTGTTCCTGGAACACACAGACGCTCCATAAATGTTAGCCCCTTCCTTCCATTGGTAGGGATCAAGGAGTCAGAAAGGTGGACGGTGACCTTATATTCTTGCATCTAGAGAAAGTGAAGTCACCACCACAAATTTTAAAGAAAGAAAACATGCTTGGCTCGGGGCTTGAACTGGGAGGCTGCCCCAGTGCTTCAGGCTCCTTTTGGCGCCGACGCAGGCAATAGCAGGCAGCTCCCTGCGGGCTCTCACCTCCAGCATCTGGGAGAAGATGCTCTCAACCTCCTGCGCCCAGTCACTCCGCCTTTGTCGTCTCTCTTCTCTGCCTGCCAGGCGGCTCTCGGCCTCGGGCCGCTCTATCCCCATGTGCTCGGTTGCAGACACCACGACCATCTCATGCTCCTGAGACTCACTGGGCTCCAGCCCTTCGATGATGGTGTCCGTTCTCTGGAATGCGTGTGGGTCTTCCGTGACCTCCTCTTGCCAACAACTTTGTACAGCATCTTGTGAGTATGAGACAATGGAGCCTTCCTCATCCAACTCCTGCAGTCTGGGGTCCAGGAGAAGTGACAGAGATGGCCGGGACAGAGAAAGGACACCCGGTCACTCTTCAGTCTCTGCTCTCCCAGATACCCTCTCCCATCCAGAGCCCTGGCTCATCCACACACCTGTACTGCCCACCCAAGGGTGCAGAGAGTGTGAGCACTCTCTGGTCCATAGAGTCACAAATGGTCCATCCCCACAGTGCTGGTGGAAAGAGCCATGGATATGAGTGCAACTGGTCCCCCTTCCTTTGGGTGAACAGCTACCCGCCCTGGGCTCCCAAGGCACTTCGCTTGTACTGATGGCCCTGTCATCAGTGCCTCCACACCCACCATCTTTCATCCTCAGACTATGCCACCCATCTCCCCTCCAGTCTTCCAGGTCATTCCTACTAACTCCTGGAAGGTTCTAGCTCTGGCTTTCTCCAAGACTACGCATGTCAAAATAGGTGGTGATTTCAATATCCAGTACCTCGTTTTTCAGTTCCTTGACCTTTTCTCCTTCAGTGATCATGACCTCTACCCTACCTCAGCTTCTCAATCCCACAGTCATAGTCTCGATCTTACTGTCTTATCAATAAGTTCCAGTTTTCCATAATCTGTTTCACCTCTATCACTCTCTTAACCAGCTCCTCTTTTATTTTTAGTTCTTTGCCTCTAGAATTCTGACTCCAACAACCTTTTGACCCCATGCTAGGACCTTCAATCCAGTGCCCTCACATTCTCCCGCCCCTCCTTTGTTGTCGTTAGCTGCTGTCAAGTGGGCCTTCAACTCATGGCACAACGTAACAAAATGCTGCCTGGACTTTGGCCAACCCCATGATCGGTTGTGGATCAAACTATTGTGATCCATAGGATTTTCACTGGCTGATTTTCAGAAGAAGATCGCCAGACCTTTCTTCCTAGTCTATCTTTGTCTGGAAGCTCCACTGAAACCTGTTCAGCATCATAGCAACAGGCTTTACCAGTTCGGTGGTGGCTGCACATGAGGTGCATTGGCCAGGAATTGAACTCGGGTGCGCTGCATGGAAGGCAAGAATTCTACCACTGAACCATCGGTTTCCCCCATCTCCTCTCCTTACTCAGCCTGAATTCCATGATTAGTCATTTTACTAACTACCTTGCATACACCCTCTTTTTGTATTCCGTTGGCCAAACATCAATCCTGGTTAAACCATACTCCCCACCCTCTCTGTGCTGCGTGGATGCCTCTGAAGGGAAATACAAACCACCCTGATTGGTCCAGCTTGAAACGCAGGGCCACTAACCCCAGGCAAAAGGAGCCCTGGTGGTGCAATGGTTAAGCGCTCAGCTGCTAACTGAAAGGTCGGCAGTTCAAACCCACCCAGCAGCTCCCTGGAACAAACACCTGGCGATCTGCTTGTAAAGATTACAGCCTAGGAAACCCAATGGAACAGTTCTACTCTGTCACATTGGGTTACTATGAGTGGAAATTGACTCCACAGCACCCAATGACAACAACAACAATCTCAAGTGTACCCTCCAGCACTGCCCAGCAAGCATACATTCCTCCCAGGCCCAGGCCTTCCCCTAGATGGTTACTGCATACTTTTTCCTCTCCTCTCACACCTGCAAAGGACTTTGCTTCCTATTTTACAAGAAAACTCAAGCAATCAGGAGAGAATTGCTCTGCGTTCCCATCATCACATCTAACTCCCAGGGTTCTAGCCCTTTGGCTGGGGTGAGTGTCCTCCAGAATGAG